ATGCAGTTTTCTGCAGAGTTTTTTGTGAAGCACACTTTCTGGCAAGGGGAGTGTCTGTTCAGCACAGGGTCCTTTGATGCATGTAGCGTTAACACACTTGTGTGTTGGCATATGGTTTTACCTGCTTGTGGCGCTAGATGAAAAGTCTGGGGTTCGACAAAGTCATAGGTTTCATGATCTGGTCTGTACCAAATTTAATGGCAGACGAATGACATTGCCATTATTATGCCTGTAGAGGTGTAGGTTTCTTTTTCTTTTTTTCCCCAGACCCCAGTAAATATACAGATGTCTACAACATTGGGACAGTTCTCCAGGCCTGAAGGGGCTAGCATAACAAAGCTAAAGTGAATGAAAACCAGTCTTGCTGATTAGATTTGATTAACTGTGGTAATGATTAATTAAATAAAATGCTTAATGCAAGCTCTGTTAAATTAACAACCTGCTTGTGTTCATGCAATCTTTGGTTCCAATCCCTGACTCACTGGTAGACGGGCAACGTAAATCTATTTCAAATCAAAGAAATTGAACAATCTGTGATTAGACCCTGAAAGGTGTTTTTGATCTGATTTGAATTTTGATATGTGGTGTAACAATGACTAACACTGGTCGACATGGCTACTCTTTTGTCCTACAAGGTCTGGTTAAGGTTCCTTGGCTATGTGGATATAATAACTAGTTGACGTTTTCTTTCACAGATCCCAGCTGCACAGCCACTTCTCCGAGCCCCTGCCTGGTTCCACCTTCCTCTTCCTCAGCTGTTTCCGTCACTACTCTCTCGCCCATCTCCTCTCCTTATACCAGTCTTCTCCAACAGACAGAAGACCAGATCCCCTCAGCCCTGGGGCCTTTCTTAAACCTTGGACCTCCTCTTCTTGACCAAGATGACTACCTTTTAGGTTTGGGAGATGACCAGGGAATCACCGACTTGTTTGATGCCTGTGACTTTGATAAAATGCCGTCTCTTGGCCTGGATGATCTCCTTTGCAGCTAGCATTAGGTAATAGAAATTCAGATTAAGTGCATGGGACAGACATGGAGAATCAGTGAGGGTCTTGATGCCTGTGACTGACTTTGTAGTTAGTTGAAGCCAATTCTAAATAGATGGAAAGGAAACATTGAGGGCTTTTTCAGTCCCAATGGGACTACATGCCATTTTCTTTCATGGTGTGAGAGCTAAATGGTCTTGCATGATTTCACACAGACACGTCTTCAGTGTGAAGATGTATCCATTACTCTTTGTCTCAGGCTATGTACGGCCTCCAGTGTAGCTGGACGTTTGGGACATCTGAAAGCCTTTGCTGTCTGTTTGGTCAAGTATAAGCGAGGAGGGGAAGGATTTCCTCCTCCCTGTGTGATGCAAGCTTTACGTCACTGTATAGCGAGACTAACAAAGACAGAACTGCTTGAAGGGAAACACCACCACACCACTTGGCATTAACACACATATCATGGGTGATTAGGTTGGGTTTAGTATGCAAGCCATGGTCACCCAAAGCCATCAGTAGAATGCTCAACAATGGGGAAGAGCTCAAGAGCAAAAAAAAAGTTTACTTTTAAAATCTTAAAAAATCTAATGCAAATATTTTATTTGATGGGCCTGTAAATTTGTGTTTTGTGTCCATGTCCATCCAGGTAACCCATCCTTAGACATATCCTAGAGTTTAACATGTGTTAATGCCAAGTGCTGTGGGGGCTGAGAGAGATTCTCAATGATTGCATTCTATTACACCAATGATCTGTGATTGAAGGCTCATACTGCTGACTGTTAGTCTGTTCAAATGTAGAAAATTTTAGAAATTAAAATGAATATAAAAAGAAAACAGGGAAATTTGGTGCACAGCATTCATGACTACAGTTATTTTACAGTAAGGACACTTGTCAGGGTACCTTTTGTGCTATTTGGGCTTATAATCATAAAGTTAGTAAGAGTATGAGTATTTTTGTACATTTTAGGTCTGAGCTGCATGGAAGTCCATATACTGTTTTGGAGTGCACATGAAGTAATTATCCAATTATAAAGGAAGTGTACAACATATTAACAGTATGCCTTATGATCCCCTGCACACAATTAGTTGTCTCTTGCGCTATTTCCTCCATTTTTGGAGGATAGGTGAAATTTATAATGATCATGATATCAACACATACTCGTACTCTTATTCATGCTTTGTGAATTCAGGACCCAAACTTCCCCTTTATTGATGCTTTTTGCCTATCCCCGCCATCTTCATCAGCAGAAGCTGCCATAACCAAACTTCCCCTAATGCCTCCTCACTTAGACTGTGTGCTGTGAAATTATACTGTGTGGTTTGAGCTAATTGGGAAAAAAATACTTTGAACCACTTATGCACACTGACTACCCTGTGTGTACTATAAGAAGTATAGGAGACAGGATAGGCACGGAATAGTCTTTTTAGGATTAATGAGTGTTGAATTTTTATTGATTTTTAATACTGTAGAAATAAGTGATGATATCACGGTCACCTAAGCAACAACGGGCCAGATAGCCACTAATATAGGCTTCAGCATGTAATGAAAGGGCTTTTTCCCTCTAGGATAATTAAAGGCTGAGAAAAAGGAAAAAAAGTCAAATAGACCTGTTTTGTAATTGGGGCAAATTCAGTGCAACCAAGCCATGTTTCATACTAGGGCTGGTAACACTGTCATGTGTTGTTTTGTAAGAGCTACAGCATCCTCAAACAGCGGTTAATCAAGAAAAGCTAACTGGAGAGAATGGGTGAACTAAGACCTGTAGGATTATGATTTTGTTTTCCTCTCTAGGTATTTGAATCTGCTGTTGACTCAAAATAGCTTCTTCTGTCTGATTACATCCCTGATAATAACAAAATGCAAACATCTTGTCTGAAACCCTGTCTTTTAAACTAGAAGAACCTGCGGCCGCAGGTAATATTGCTGCTGTTAGTGTTAACTTTTCCTCAATCTGATTGATGTGCGCTTGAGTAATAACGTGTGCAGCATGTGTGAGTTATGTCAGAGATCAAGCTTGCTAAAGAGTAAGCCTGCCATGTGTAAATTGATGTACAGTTTTCTAAATTTTTCAGTGCACAAGGTACTGTAGGCTACCTCCCACTTAATGTTGGACAATAGTAATAGGGCATAGAGGTTAATGCCATAGTGTGTATGAGTTTTTGAAATTCCCTTTTGTCATAAAAATGACCCTTGGATTATTTCGAGGTGATGTTGGATATTACATCACACTTTCTCTTTTGATGAGTGCGAGATTCCACTCATGCCCCGATATAATGAGTATGCTTTTGCTCTTAAACCAGTCTCATGCATCTGGTTTGAATAATGGGGCGCACATTTAATGGATGGAAAAGCAGACAAATGTATTGCAATATATTTTTGGGTTTTGTTTTTTCAATATTTTCTGTAAGTTATTTAGTTCTTTTGTCAGTGTTTTTTTTTTTTTTTTTGTAATGCAGAGTTTCCCTTAGACCCAAAACGTAGTACACATTTAATAATGCATGCATGCAGTCATTCATTCACAGCCTATCTGCCCTTTACTGGTCATTAGTCAAATTGCTATGTCTGTATACACCTCTGAACCAGGATCAATGATTTGTGTCCTCTGCTGAAGTGTGTAGGGGGCTTTGCTTCTGTGACACTGTGTGTCCGTTTTATTTTTGGAATGTGATGAGGGAGTCTGTCCCGCTTTTCTTTCTTTCTTTAAAAAAAAAAAAATTGCATTTCTGCCAATTTCACTTTGATGGAGAGTATTGAAGCGTGTTGAAACAGTATTTGACTTTGCAAAACCAAAACCCAATTGTTAATCTGAACTTCACACATTAAAAACATACAGTTTCTTGATCAACATAACTTAGCTTGATAATTGCTGCTATCATAAGTGAACTTAATTTGACCTAAATGCACAGCAATTCTCTGTTTTACAGTTTCCCTCTGGGCATATTTATACCAGTGTATTTTATATGTATTTATGGAACAGTCAAGCTCAATATTTTCCCCGATTTGATTCACTAACTACAGTTGTGCTATTTTGTAAGATCATTGACATAGGTAATTATATTTTCCTCCATCTATTTCAAGCGACCAGAATCTGGTCACACTATTTTATCCACTTTTACATGACGGAAATGTGGTTTTTGGAAAGATTGTACCTTTCCATGAGTTTGTAATGGAGTGTGAAAGATTTTAATGCATCGCTAAAGCTAGTGTAATTGCCAGTGAGTCTGAAAATGTATTGGGTAAAATTACAGCTCCTTCTAATGTGGGATTCTGATGTGTGATTAGACTTTACCGAAAGTTACCATTAGGCTAAATGTGGTGTTAACTATAGTCAAGATTGAAACAGCACTGTCTTTTCCTGCTATTTTCCTATGGTTATACTTAAGCTGTTACCAAATACAATATACTGATCAGTAAATATTCTGTAAAGGTTATGTGAAAAGTTAACTATTTGATAGGAAATAATTGACTGTAAAATTATAATATTGCTGCCTGTTTCCACTAATTACAGAAAAAAGAGCTGTAATATCACTTTTTTGCAATTTGAACGCATGGGTGAAAGTATCAGTGTGCTGTTGAATGTTTAAGGTAAACTAATGTGATGATTTTTGATGTGTGTTCAGTTATACAAGTTTCTTTAACATTTGTTAAATGAGGAATATGAGTTGTATTTGTTTTGGGGGGGGCGGGGGGATAAATGGATTTGTTTTTTGTACTCTGGGTGTTTGTAATTTGAAAATTTGAATAAAGGCAATATAAATATGGATAAATGTATATGTTTGATTTGTGATGTCTTTAGGGGATGATTTTGCTCAGTAGTGAATTCAGTAAAAGACCACATTGGTTGTCTGTACTGCTGAACTACTTTAAAAGCATCATTTAAAAAAAATAAATAAAAAATGAATCATCTATTTATTGCTCAGCTTAGTAACATACCTTAAATAAAAATTGGTCAAAATGCGCTCCCCTAATGTGTACACACATTTAGCACGTGTCTAGTTTGTCCCTCTTTACCTACCGTATCTACGCACAAGTATGGCGGCCTAAGAGTTGTGACAACTGTTTTGATGGTGTAAAGAATCGTTTTTTCCATTTCTAAAACATCCTTTCGTCGGAATTCGTATTTATTTGAACTAATAACCACATTGCGACTCAGGTAAGGGATTTATACAGTGTGTTCACGTGTCGGCCTGTCCATAACAAGGGGCACGTGGGTAGTAGCTAGCTGCTGAGGCTAGCCAAGCTAATAGCTTAGCTGTTAACAGTTAGCCGAAAGGTTGGTAGGTAACAGTCAAATTCATCATTTTCACAGCTGTTTCTCATCTATATCAGTCAGCGGTTAGCTTGTAGGTGAACGTCGGGTGGAAATAAGAAAATATCAACGTTACATAGTTAAGTTAGTATCGCTTTAAGATAATTAACATTAATAATTAAGTTAATTTCTTGATTTAAGTCAATGGACTCGTATGGATGAGTATTTTGAGGTAATACTAGTAAGTTAGAAAAAACCTCAAAGTTTGTCGTATGAACCCTGGAAAAATTAATTTGGCTTTCAGTTTTATCTTTACTCTGTGAACTTAAGTCTAGTAAACTAACGTTGGTTAAGTTGCGTTAATTGAGTGCAGACTTAAATGTTGTAACGTTAGGTTCAAGGTCTCAGAAGTTGGGTAGCTTTCTGATTAAGGTTTTTTTACTACAACTCGTGTAGCTTGATAGCCTTTTTCTGTGGGGTATTTTCAGTGAAAGAGGAATGCAGTTGAATAATAAAATTATTTTTTACACTGTAGAGAAAGCATAGAAAGCTAAAATAATGCACTAACCGAGAGAGAGACACACACACACACACACACACACACACACACACACACAGTTGAATCTAAACTTCATGTCTTTATGACAAAATCTCTGTTAGTAAGCATTACTTTCTCTGTATATGGGATGGACTGATTAACACAGGTGCGTCAGTAGACACAGGTGCTCAGCCTGTATTAATCAGCATGACTGTCATATACTCCTTGATGATGTATTCTCTACAGCTTAGGTTAGCATAACAGCCATAACAGAATGGCATAATAAATTAACATTGTCTTTCATTATAAAATTATTCTAACATCACCACAATAAACCAGCACGTCCAAACATTCATCCAGACACTGCACTATGTATATCTGGTTAATTGCAGCCCTACTATGTTATTGCATCACTGTGGTGATGTGAACTCTTTTCATCTAATGCTGCTCCTCGTTTGACCTTACAAGACGTTTGACAAATACATTGTTTGTTACAGTTGCAAGCTAAAGGTAAAATGATGGCGATATTATGTGACATTTGATCTTACTCTTGATCAAGTTTGTTATCATTCATTCGGTTACAATTCATGTATTCACATATCCTTATCCTATTGCCCAGAGTTTTGGCATAAAGGAAGTGACATTACCATTCAAATCTCTCAGCTATGTCTCTCGAATACCGCTGTGCTGACCAAGGCGCTGTCTAATTTTCAGACCATCATGCCGTCCGCTTGTGACTCTCTGATTGAAGACATCGAGGACATGGTGTCTTCTAGCGATCCCACACCTCACGAGAGGCAGTCTGCAAGAAAGAGTATCATACCGAGGTCCAGGAAGAAAAAAGAGCTGAACCACGAGGAGCTCCATGCTGACAGGTATGTCAGATGTTTGATATAACATGCAAGTTTATTGTGATATTGCTCCTGTATAGAACATGTTTTAGGCTGATGATGAGAAAGTAAATTCTAAATTCCTAGTAAGTCACTTAGTAGTTGGATAACTAGCAATATTCAGCCCCTTATGTTTAACATTTGATCAATTTAATTTTAGTAAGTTTAGTCAAAGAAGTATCCAAGCAAAACATTTCAGACCTGCATTTTCATAGTTGTGCTATGTGCAGCTTGTTGCACATCAGGGTTTTTTATTTGGAAAAGTAAGAAAGACCAGTAACACACCTGTAGTTTGGCTCACTTGGTCTGGACCAAAGAAAAATGTGATGTATTATTGCCTTGTAGTTCTTATTACACATGAACCAAGAAAGGTAAACCTGAAGGAACAGGTAACTCATTCATTATGACAGTTATGTTGATGGTCATCCAGGAAAACCAGAGTCCTTTACTGCTCTGTGTTTTATATTTAACTTCATTCATGGCACATACACCTCATGAAAAAGTAATTGCTTGATTGTGAGCATTGTTACTAGAGTTTGGCACTGGACTCACGTCATGAATAATGCTGGACAGGTAAAAACCAGATAAAAAGAGGCATCTCACAGTAATATTAGAGGGGGTCATTTATAGGGGATTTTTTTATGTTTCACTCAATTTTTACTGGAGAACTGCTAAAATTATACAATTTTAGACACAAGCGTAACACCCCTTTTAACTAATTTTCTCCTTCCCATGAAGGAAAATGCCCAATATTGTATCTGATATCACAAAATGCTGTGATTTCTGCTATACTTTCATACTACAAACAAACCTCACCAAAGCCTGCTTGGAGACTGTTGGTCTGCAAGTCCTCATCAGCGAGCTTTTGATTGTTTTTATGGCAGATTTATTAGATAACATTCATTTTAGATATAGATTTTGTTATTTCCACACCTCCATATAACAAAAACATATTTCGTTGTTGTTAATTTTTAGTTTGATACCTGGCACTCAAAAAATCTGGATGAAAACGTGGGGCTGCAGTCATAACAACTCAGATGGTGAATACATGGCCGGACAGCTAGCTGCCAGTGGATACAAGATGACGGGTAAGAGATCGTTTAATTGTGGTGGTGTGTATTATGTCCATTGACAAGGTCAGTGAATAACATATTACAAATGACAATATTCATAGAATGCTACTACAGATTGATATTAATAGAATAATACTCAGATAGAAAGATGGATGGATTTTAGACTGGATTGAAGAAATTACAGCTAAAAGAGATCTTATAACTGATGTCGTCATTATTATTATTATTATTATTATTATTGAACACAAGGGGGCAGTCTTGCCTTATAAGTAAGCTGTACCTTTTGGGATATTCTAGTGGGAGTCTTTTTTTTTTTTTTTTTGCCCTGAACTGAGCTTCCCAGGCTGTGCACTGCCCTCAACATATGTATGTATAATCGACCAGCCTCTTTGCCAACTTTATCTTTTGACTTGACAGTTTGAATAGAATATGACTTCTATAGGTACTTGCCATATTTTTTTCCCAAAGTGGTTGGTAAAATTGTAAAATCTGTATGCAGATCTGTATGCCAATGTTACCCATCGACAAGTGCTATTTATGTTTTGGCTTTCATGCTTTGAGATTAAGGATGCAGCACAATATAGAAATATCTGATGACTGATAATTAACATGGTCATTCAGTCTGACTAATATTTTTTTATTTAATTGCAATACCAACATGAACATGAAAAAAGAGTGCAGCCAACTAGATGTTCAAATAAGTAGGACCAAATGTGAAAGCTAAATAAATAAATTTAAAAAATCACAAAAGGAAACAAAACATTCTGTGATCATCTATGTGGAGATTGAGAGAGTAGCCTACAGTATGTTTAAACATTGTTAAATCAATACTCTGCCAAACCTCCCTATTTATGAAATATCAATATATTTAGACATAAACATATACATGTTATATACATTTAAACAAACATATTTATATATGTCTGTAACTTGTATTTAGTGGGGCACTTGAAAAACACCTCAGTGTTTTTGTGTGTGCTAGAACTTTTTTTCATCATGGCGGCCTCCGTGGGAAGAGATCCTGCTCCTTCTGAAGATAAAAAAGGCTCATTCTGATTCCCCGGACACGGTTGCCTCGCTGAACTGCTGTGGCTTGCACGCCTTTGGTGTCCACAGAGTGAACATTTCTGCTGTGGTGTTGCTGCAGGCCCTATCTTTATTTCTTTTTTGAAACTGCAGTGAAAGGTGTATATTTTGCTGGTATGATGTCAATATGACAATGAACAGTGTGCAGGAACTGTGTGCGTAAAAAAAAGGCGAGACCTCGACTCGCTAGTGAACCGTTGCTGCAGAGACCCTCACCTCGTGTGGGCAGTTTGGCTACTCTAACCTGTTAACATGGTCTCTGAAATAAAAAGATGTTCCACCACACGCTGCAGAAGCAGGTAGTGTAAACTGGGCTTAAGATGCGATTAGTCAGGTTACTTTCTAGGATTGTTTGACAGAACTTCTGTTATTATACTTTTTAATAGGACCTTTCATCTTTAGTTTTAGAGAGAGAGAGAGAGAGAGAGAGAGAGAGAGAGAATATTACCCCTAAGGCGTTTCTCTCACCATGGGGTCTCCACAGCCTTAGAAGGACATTAATCATGCACTTCAAAAATGCAGATGCACTCACTCACAAGACACAATTTACTCATGAACACAGGCTAACGGTTTTCCGCCTCATCTGGTAGCATAGACCTTTCTTTGTTTTTAAAAGTCTTCTCTGTCCCTTCAGCTTGTCTCAGAAACAACCTCTCTCTCTCTCTCTCTCTCTCTCTCTCTCTCTCTCTATCTCTCTCTACTTTGTCTCTCACCCTCCTTCTTGCCGCAGTAGTATTTCCTGTGTTAAAGCATCCACTAAGGCTTGGTATTTAGTGTGCTAATTGTCTTACCGTAGATCTATTTTGACTCTAATTTAGTGGAACGGTGGCAATTGTCTTTCAGGAAGTGGGTGCAGTGTTGTTTGTAGTTAGAGTTGTTTTCTATTCCCATTTGATTTCTGTACAAGAAATATCCATCTGTCTCAGAATCTGATTATAGCACATAGCACACTTCTCTTGTTGTCAGCAGATATAGATGCATTTCAAGACAGTGTAATGTAATGCACTCTAAAGTAATAAGGTTAAAACTTGCTGTTATGGATATTGAAGTTTTCCAATCTCTAGATTAGGTTTGTTTCTGTATCCTTTTTCATCTTGAAGTGACCACACAGGGGTCCTGGTTCCAGGAAGTGTTTCAGCTCTGTAGAAGAAATACTCCCAAATAGTTGTATTCTCTATGCTCATAAAATATTTCACTCCTCACCAATGTCTTACAATCCAGACCTTTATACAATAAAAAGAACCAAAAATCTGAAAGTATATTTGCTATCACTGTATGAATGTGTGTGAATGTGTCATGTAGTGTGAAGCGGTTTGAGTGGTTGGAAGACTAGAAAGGTGCTATACAAGTACAGTAAAGACACTTAACACTAAAACAGAATAACAGGTACAAGGGTAAAAAGAAAATGGGTCACGGTGGTTGTACTAGTTCAGTTCTTTTAACTGCTTTCAGGTTGCCTTTGCATATCATTTGCATGAGTACATTTATTTGCAAGAGGGATCGTGTTTCATGATTTCATGGGACATTTGTACTTGACAATGACAACTGCTGACAAAGGTTTACGTTTTGGCTTATCAATAAAGAGCCTCCACAAGCATACAGGTTTTATTGATAACCTGTATTTTTGTGTCTGCGTTTGTCCTGCGTTTGTTAGGTAACAGCTTAGCAAAAGAGCAGTACTCTGTTTATCACTTCAATTACTATAGTTGTTTACCCCACGCTGTAGCCCAGATATGCCTTTATCCCTCACAAATTAAGCTTCAGAATACTCCTTCTTGAATACTTGTTCTCTTTTTTTCTCTCTCACTCCCTTCTCAACAAAGTAATTTTAAGGTCAGTGTCTCACTGCTAAAGCCAAAGGATTAGTTTGGTTTTTGTCTACCCCTTCTTTTTATCTATGTATTTTCCCTTTGTTTACGTCCTTGTCTCTTCTTCTGTCTTTTTCCTCCTGGATCATGTTTTTGTTTTTCTTTCCATCTCACCCCTCTCCTTTGGGTGTGAGTATCTTCACTCATTGTTTTTCATTGTGGGATTGTTGGAAGGAGAAATTGCCTGTCATGGACAGAATCAGGGGAGATTATACTCAGGACAGGCAGTGATTGTTTTGAATGGTATAGTATAGTATGGAATGCAATGAAGTTTTCTTGAGTGGCATGAAATTGTTGGGAGTGCATTGGAGAGAGTAGAATAGTCTGGAATGACAAGGACTGAATTGGGCTCCTCGAGGATGTAGTGTCTAGTCTTTGGCCAAACTGAACATGAGGACTTAGAGTAGGTTGAACATGATCATTTGTGAGTCAGACTGTTATGTACTTCTCTAAAAAACAATTGAAAATTATGAAATTATGCAATTGTCTGAATGATACCTCTGTGTAGTGTCTGTCGTTCTAAACCGCAGTGTCGATCTGCAGATCTAAGTGAAAGAGTTTGGACAAAGACAGAGCTTCTCCTGCTCTGAAAACATTACATCACCTTCTCTCTCCCTCCCTCCCTCTCGTCTTTCCTGCCTGTTTTCTCTCTTTCACGCCCCTGCCCTCCCCTGTCCCTCTTTCATCCCCCTCTCTAACTCTTTCTTTCTTTCTTTCTTAAACTATGACATCACCTGGTGTGAGACGTAGTAGCAGTTCTTATGTTGGCCTCTAGGTGGCAGCCTTGGCTCGTGGGAAGAGCTTTTTGCTGAAAGAATGCATCTCTGCGATATCAGGATGAGGTCATCCTTCTGAAAAACTCTGTATTCTCATTCATAGTTTTGAAAGTTGTAACTTTCAGTCCTTGAAAGCTACATGTGAGCTTATGTGATCATTAATGTTCAAAAATGAAATAAAGCCAGATGTTTGTTAACACAGTTATTAACATGAAATCAGTATAATGTAATACTGTAAGACACCATATTGACTTTTACATAACAGGAGCCTAGTTGATTAATTTTCAATGTAAAGTTAAAAAGGTTGAAGGTTCAAAAGATTTATTTGTTTAGATGAGAGGGACCACTCCTCATTCTCCAGCTGGAGAGCATCTTGGCACGTACATAGAGATTTTTTAAATTAATATATTATATAAGACACAGACACAAGTATTTTTTCACTTCAAATGTATGAACTGATGGTGCTTACAAGTTGAGGTGATAAATTAGCGACCAGTTCAGTTGTAAAAAATATAATATATTTTGACCATCTGAACAATCTAAAGAGAAAATGTCTCCCTTTTCTCCCTTTTTAGTTTTAGTCTTGTTCTGTTGTACTTCATTACCACTGAAACAGCAACCTGTGTCACTTCTCTTTGCTTTCATTGTCTCCTCACTTGTTTTGCTGCCTGTATTTGTTCAGTGTGGCTCGTTGTAAGTAACTGTTCCCCTGTACAACCAAAGGGGGCACTGTTTACCCATGATGATTATATACTGATACAAATGAACCACATTTGAGCAGCAGAGCAATGTGCCAAATAGTGACTTCATAGAAAGGCGTGTATGCTCAGACATGGGTGAAAAAACGCACACACACACACACACACACACACACACACACACACACACACACACACACACACACACACACACAGACAGACCCTTCATGGAAAGTCACACCAGGATATTTTGATTGTTTTTGGCTGCTCTCCTCCCCTCCCAATCTCCCCTCTGCCAGCCAGCCACACACACAGCACTTCAGTTATGATTTTACATACCGGTTAGGCAAAATTACTCCCTGGTACACAATGTCAGCCAAATTAGGCGTTCTCAGTTCCTGCTTTGGACACGGACGGTTGGTGGATGTGAGTTTAAGAGAAGGGTGTGAGCTGCTCTGATAAAATGATAAGAGGACTCTATTGATCAGCAGGTATTACAGGTGTTGCTGTGGATAGAAAATGCCAGGTGTCTCATACAATGTAATTTTACTATGCCTGCTAAATATATGATTATATGAAATGCATAA